GATGGCCGCAGGGGGGGGTCACTGGCGGGGGGGTATGTTTGACATGAACCAGGCGCAGCAGCTGGCAAACCTCCAGCAGAGGGAGCGGCAGCTGCACGCGCTGAACGGGGGCGGGGGAGCGGGGCAGCAGCAGCTCGCCTCGATCCAGCAGCGGATCCAGATGGCGCAGCGCCAGAACCTGCCGTCGCTAGGCGGAGGGGGGGGTTCGGGCGGCTTGCAGGGAGGGCTTGGGGGGCAGGGCGGAGCCGCGTCTCAGAACGCGCTTTTGCTCCAGCTGTTGCAGCAACAACAGCAGAACCAGAACAGGGGGCTGCAGAGCCTGCAGAGGGGGGGCAGCGGCGGCATGGGGCGCCCCGGCCCCCGGATGGGGGGGCTGGAAACGCAGCAGGCGGGCCTGACAGGTAGGAGGAACTCCGGCGAGCTGAGCATGCTTTTGAACGGGCCTGGGGCGTATGCGGGTGGGGATGCGGGCGCAGCAAACCTGCTAAGACTGCACGGCTCGGGTTCGGAGGATGTAAAGGGCTTTGAGCTTGGGGGCGGGGGGGGCAACTATCCGGGTCTGGGGGGGTATGGGGATGGGAACGATGGGGCGAGGTGGGGTAACCCTGGCAAAGTGGGGATGGATCCTTTCCGGGGGGGCCACTGGCAGGAAGGTGCTGTCAGGCGGGGCAAAGATGACGGCCTCAAAAGCGACGAGTACCAGAGCCTGTCACTGGGGCCGATGGGCCCTGGGAATGAGACGAGCGCGGCGTCCGATCAGGTAAGCTGGCGGCCTCTCTACACCGCATTATTGTGTCGGATGCCTTGAAAAGAACTGCAATCGCGCTGTAGCTTTGCTTATGTGGGAGGCTCGAGGCCTGCTCCTTGGATTGGGATATGTTCAAATGTTAATTTTCCTTTTGAGACTTGCACAAGTCTTATCGTTTAATTTTGTGTCACGAAGTTTCTGAGCTCTTGCATGCCTTTTGAACACCCCCCTGACAGTTCTTTTTGTCTCAACGGATCTTTCGACGATGCAAGTCCACACTGATTGAGAAAACCCCTGTATCAGGCACGAAATGATAGAGAAGCGGGGCCGCGGCAAGATATGCCGAGCCAGGACGGAAATCAAAGCCAGGACGACTATCTTGCCGCTTTCTTCATGAAGGTAGGCATCAGTGGAGAGGGCCTTCGACGCAGTCAGGTTTCCCGTCATACTTTGATGAGCGTGGCTGCATGCGTTTGGCAGCATCCCCGTCTTGTTCGATCTTCTATGCTGGCGACTCTGTTGTGGGTATCATTGCGACAAGAACCCAATTGGTTGTCTTCTGGTGCGCTTTGCTTGATGTGCACTTTATTGCTTTCTGTTGCAGGAGCAAGGTCTGCCCGAGGGTGACCTCAATTCTGAAGGCTTCCAAGTGGATGACAGATGGAAGCCCTCCGATTCGTTTGTCAAATAACTCGAACTCAAGTGCATTTCCTAACCTTTTCGATGGGCTGGCTCCATCCACGTGAATATTTTCGCTGATAAGTCTTGGAGCCGGTGTTGCCTGGAATGAAGATGACCTACTAAGCCGGGTAGCAAGGTGTCTGCGAAATGCACCTATAATGGTTGGCTTGCCAATTGTTGTCCGGAGCAATTTTGATAGAGTCAAAGAGAGACGTGCGAGCGGCACTTGTTGTTCTAGTAGTTTGACTCCAAAGCTTCTCAACCATCAGTTGTAAAGTAGCGTTTCAATAGCACAAAGGACTTGTGTCTAGGAAACATGAGGAGGTCGGATTAGCCAGTTTACAGCACGTTTTTGCATACCGTTCAAGTTTAGTAGCTCAATTTAACGGGTGAGCAGCATGGTTGACACTCTCCTCGTGTCCTAGGAATCCACATGTTAATACGCATCAGTCTTTTGTTCTTTCACTTTGTTTTCACAGCCAGGACCTTGCCCGCATCTGGAGGTTCGGAAGTTGCTCAGTCTGTACAACCCCCTGCTAGCAGCATTGTGTGTAGCATCACTCATGCAAAGCTCTTCCATGAACTAAGCTGGCATTTCCGTCATTGTTGTATTTTAATGCATGGACGTTTTTGCATGATGCATGGCCTGCCACTACGTACGAGAGCATGACTATCTGCGTGCTTCAGGGTATACGTACCGATAAACTGTTGCGGATGCAATACAAATCAGGGAGTTGCGCCGTGGTGCCATCGTGTGCAGTTGCTGCATTGCAATATGCAGGGCAGTCAAGTATATCATATAACGTACAGCATTTGCATGGTGGCGCGCTCACTATCCATGAAAGCTCTCGAAAGTTTCAGGTTAGAATTCGATTTACGCGGCCGGCAACCGTCCATGCCGAATCTGACATGGCGCGATCTCGCATACATACCAACATCATGCATTGATAACATTGACAGGACGATTCCAGACAGACGGCGGTTGGGTGTGCAAGTTCTGGCACGCAGCTCCTTGATGATTGTCCGACCATGTACTGAAGTATATTCAACTCAGAGCCTAGGGCTATGCATTGCGAGCCTGTTGCATAGCAAAGTTGCAGCTTCTGATCAGCTAAGCAATCAGAACTCAAACATTTATTTCCATGTATGCCATGGAAGTCTATGGCCCATGTGGCTACGGCGTTTGAAAAGAGAACATCAGTGAAACGGGTGTCAACTCAGAGACCAAGAGAAACTCAATCTCACAAAGGTGAACGGTCTAATTCTACACAAGCTATTGGTCAAAATGGTTCAGGGTCGTTGGCAGATAAACACTGAATGCAAAATGCACCTTGCACTTCAGTGGGACAATTGCCAGTCGAATTCCCCTTGCAAATCCAGAAGACGTCATGCAAGTAGCCACAACAGATTACTCACAGCTTCAAGACCTGCAAAGCTCAAAATCGTCCAATTTCGAGTAAGATCCTTGTCTCTCGAGCGGCCTATAACAGCACATGCTGCTCCAACAGACCTATTGCAAAAAGTAACCGGACAAGAATAGGCAGAAGAAGAAAACGAGTGAACCGTAGATCAGGATGGACTTCTGGTTGCTAGTCAAACTGTTGCCTCCCAACCCAAATCCTTGGTTTTGGACAAACCCAGAAAGCTGAACTCCCTTATTCACGAAGCCTTCTCTTGCAGCTCCACAAATGGGACACTGCCAGTCCTCCGGGAGGTCCTTAAATTCTGTGCCCCTGGAAACCGGGTAGCTCGAATCTCCTTCCTCTGGCTTGTACTCATAACCACAAGAGTTGCACTCGAATTTGCCAGACTCTTTGACAGCATACTTCTCCTGTACATCTGCGGAAGAAGTACAAGCAATCATAAGGAGAGGCCCCTTGGAACGATCTCCAAAGCTTGTACCTTCCCATCCAGGCCCCACAGCCCGGCCGCCGTTCAGAATGCATCGGCAGAACATCTTAAGCAACTACACTGTTTACGCCGAGGGCATGTCCTGTGCCTCAATGACGACGAGCTCATTGCAAAGTTGATGTGCATGATGACATCAAAACCCTAATTTTAAACCCACCACAGCAACCTCGATCATGTTTCATCACCTTTGAACAGCACCCTCTGAACCACTTCAGAGTGGCAGGTCCAGTGGTCCATCAGCAAACACAAAGCTCCCAACAAGATGCCCAAAATAATCCTACTCCTGAGGGCTGCCCACTTTGTGCACACCAACATCTTTGGGTTTTCTAAACCTCAGACATTTGATTCCAGTCCACACTGAAGCTGCCAGAGGACAAAATTTTCATCATATTCTCCTTTTACAGTGTACTTCTTCTTACGGCGGGCTTCATTGTACGGCGTGCTTCTTGCTCACCCAGTTCTGCACAGTTATCCACCACCAAGCTAGCAGAGTCGTGCAAGTTTAAAATGTGCCCTCATGTGGTCCAGCAAACAGCATTACAAGGTTCTCACAGGAGCCTGGTACTCACCTTGGATCTTGAACTTGCCTACTTTCAACTCCTTCTCATAAGCGGAAAGCTCGGGATCCTCAGCCCCCTCAGGGGTTGGAGTTGTTTGAAGTTCCGGCTCCGCAGACATTCTGACGCGGTCGGTACCCCCCGTCACATGACTTTGCAACCGCTGTCCTCGCAGAAAGTTCTTCTTTGATCCAACACTCAAGTAACATCTTGCAGGTGCAGCCAAACGGGCATCAGCAACTCCGCGGTGAGTATCACATTCTGTCTGTCTAAGGACGCAATGTGCGGTGCTGTAAGCGCTCCAACAAGCTGCGGCTGCACCCGCCATGTTTTCTTTTCTCGAACAAGGTGAATGCAAGCAGCAGAGCGACACGCAGCTGCTACGAAAAGGCCAGAGCGACTTCAACTATTGTTTCCAAAAGAGAAACGTCACTCAGCACTTTGTTGGACGTAAAACTTGAACCTCGAGTTCAGTGCAAGGAATGCAGGTCCCTGCACTGGTGCCAGCAGGTCTACGCCCAAGCATAGCAGCTATCTTCACTAGTACTGAAACCCAGCAACCCGCTGTGCTCGCTGCTGGGGGGTTGCCAGATCAGTCCCTGGATCAAAGAATCTCACACAAGCGCAGGACCACAAGATAGTTCGACTGGTAAATCTGGACCGTCGATATCTTAATTCTCTCGTCTCTCGTCCCTGTCTGACCAAACAGGGGGGTGGGCGGTTCTCTGGAAGAGAGAGCAATGCATTCACGTTTATAAGCACGACACTAGAGCCTGAGGCTAGAGTCTGAATAGGTAGGTAGTCTTCAGAGCGACAGCTCAAGAAAAGGATGAGCAGCTCTTGCTTCTCTATCAGGTGGAAGTTCTGCCCGTGAATGCCACAAAATAGCTGCATTCATTGAGCAGCTATCAGCCGCCACATTGACATCGTGTGGGCTTTGCCAAAGCCAAAGTGTCTGATATCCGGGGCACTCGCGCAATCATGACTAGTTTCTTCAAAAGAGTCCTAGATGCATATCGGATCCTGACGGGCAAAGATGATGCCGTGCAGAAGGGCATCATGCAGCTGCAGAAAGAGATTGCGCAGGTGATTGCTTGTCGGCACCTGCAATTGACGTCTCAATGGAGCCTATCAAGTGGCATTGCGTATTAGACAGATTAGCTTCGACTCCTTATCAAAGTCGCTTGATGCTTCAAATTAACATCTCGAAGAAAGATTGGCCCAGAAAGTGGTGTAGGCATGTGCTCCCGCCAGCGACTTCTGCTCCAGGCTCCACTGGCCAGAATTGCTCCTGCATGACCTTTATTATGTTTGTTCAAAAGTGCTGGATTTGTTCTCTGCAATTCCTTGCGGGAGTTGATGGAGATTAAGTTGTCAAGGGGCACGTCTGGAATATGCAGCTCCTTCATCTTCCCCCAGCGCACCTTTGCTTGTTCACAGGGTCATTGCTGACTAGCAAGCAGTGTGACTTTGATAGTGAAGCCTACGGTTATTGTTTATTTGTGCAGAGAGAAGCGCGCCGCGCTGTGCAGCAGGCGGCACTAGAAAAGCAGATCTTGGAGGAGCTGCGGCAGAGTTCCGAGGCGCTGAAGACAATCAAGGATGGCTATATTGCACAGGTGAGCACCAGGGGAACAGATTCGGGTTGACGCTTGTTGACGTCAATCGCTTTCGTAGAATCGTAGGAAGAAGACCAAGTAGACTGTCGAGATACTCCTCACTTTGTTCATCTTTTTGAAAGTAGACAAGTTATGGCCGCAAGAATTTGCCCTCAGCAGGAGGTCACTGTATCTTTTGTCTTCTCACCAGCGGTCTGAATAAGTACAGTCAGATCCTGAAAAAGCTGGGCACTAAACTCTTCCCTTTTGAAAGTGCCTAGGAGCGGTGCCTAGTTGCTTCGTAGGCATTCTGACCATCTCTTGATCACTCAAGTCACCAGATCTGGCTTATCAAAAGTTGCTCCATCATGTCCTGTCATGTTGTAGTCGCTGAGGTCCTCCTCAAAATCCTAACAGACGTTCAATCACAGTCTTCCTTTACTGACACTTTTTGTGCATCTTGCTGCACAATCCCTCCGATTTTGGTCTGATCTTGACAATCCTTCTGCGCCAACAGGAAGAGGAGATTGCCAGGTTTGCAGCCGCGCTCGGTGAAAGTGCCCAGGCCCAAATGGCTGCTCAAGCAGAGGCGGAGGCTCAAATGTTCCTCGAAACCGCGCGACGCTCCGGGATCCAACTCGAAGCCCCTCCCCCGTTTTCGGAGTTTGTCAAGCGGGCTAACCTCGGCCTTGCGAGCGGAGAGGCTGTGACCACCATGCTGGGAGACATGCGCCGGAGTCAGGGCTCGGAAGGGACGTATGGGGAAGCAGGTCGAGCAGGGGTCGAGCAAGCGGGCATCGTGGATGCGGTTCTGGGAGCCGAGGACGACAAGGTTGAGCAGGGGGCAGAGCAAAGTGCGGGCCACGATGCGCGTCAGAGCGGTATCCAAGACAGGGCTGGCGGTGAGGTCCAAAATAACCTGTCTGATGCGGGGCCGAACGTAACTGAGAGGCCTTTGAAGGGAGAAAACATATTGATCTGGCCACAAAGGCCGAAGCTGGGCACGAAAAGGTGGTGATACAAGATCAGGGTACAATTGCCACTGCCGGGGAAAAGAAAGTGGTCCCTCTGTCGGCGGTAAAAGTGGATCCCGAGTCGAGCTCGGATTCTGATTCGGACTCTGATGAAGAGGTGCATTCGAAGCCACAAGTGGTGTCGGCAGACCCGGAAAAGGAGGTCACAGAGTTGGGCGGCATCCAAAATGGCGCGCGGGAAGGGGAGCATGCAGCGACGGTCGAGGTTGAGGTCAATGAGCTTCCCGCTGAGAGAGCGCAAAGAAACGGGACACGCGGCAGAGAACGGCAAGCGGGTTCCAAGGGGTCAACACCTTGGGAGGAAGCTGTGGAGAGCGATGAAGCAAACGTTGAAAAGAGTCGGGAGGAGATAGCGAGCTTCATTGAGCTTCCAAGCCAACCGTCGAGCAACCCGGAAGCCGTTGCGGGGTCCTTGGGGGTGGTCTTGGCACCAGCACATGGTCCAGCACCAAACATCGCACACGAAGATGAGCAAGCTCTGCCTCCGTTGGAGAGTGAAGTGACTCGGTCTGTTAGCGACATCGAAGTAGAGAGTCGCAGTGGCAAACCAAAAAGTGGAGAGATCACTCGGAAACGAAACGGGAAGAAGAGCGACGAAGTGGAGGCCAAGATTGAGAAGGGGTCCCAAGCGCCGAAAACGAGGAAGAAGCGGGCTCCAGGAAAGAAGAAAGCGGAGTTGTGAGGGTCATGAGCAAAGTGTCTTGACCCAGTGGTCGCTGAGACTGTAACATAATCTAAATCCAATTCCAACACTGTTACCTAACGTCGTCCACCCAATATTTGGACCAGTATCGTCGAGCTCGAGAGACAGGCTTTTGCGGTCAATCACCATTGGTCTGCCAGCCTACCAACTCCGACACTGCATTCAATTGTATGCACTCTCACGGACCTCCTAGGTCGGAGCGACTGCCATCACTTGTTGACCGTCATCATTTAGGGACTGCATATGGCCATGCAAGGCGATACATGACGCGGTAAGAAGTTCAGTCACGTCTCAATATGACCAATAGTAGTTGCCGCCATGGGCAAAATCAAAACTTATATAATGATATTGAAGCCCCGCGCCTCGATCAGGCACAATGCATTTTATGAACATATGCAATTTGGGAGGCTTACTGTTCAATTTGTACACATGTGCATGGTACCTTGATTAAATTTATGCACATGATCGACAATGACACCGGGCTGCATCTACTCAGTGAGAACATCAACACTTAATTGCATGCAGGTCGGAGTATACGTATATACTATATTGATTTCAGCTAGTGTGCAGCCTGCTGCTAGTAGAGCCTGCCGGGGGGATTCTCCGCAATCATCAATTTGCAATTAGCTAGCATTGGCCGATCATCACTGCTCGCTCGCACGACCATGTGACCGTCTAACTTAGTCACTATCCTTCGAGTGTCGTGCCAGCAGTTAAAATTCCAAGAATTTTCGCATGAACCTTTTTCGATGCAAGAACAAGCTGATGATGAATCTCCTCGAAACAAGATGAAGTTTCTAACTTCGCTTTGCATGCCAGCAATAGTTCAATCCTCTTGAGTACCTCTATAATACACGTACGAAAATCTGCTTAAATGCTGAGGCGCCCTCAAATAACCAGCTGTAAAGTCACTCCGTGCAACCTATCCAGCTGATTGGTACGAGCCGACAATCACGCTGATGCTGACATCGTGTAACCTCAGCTGCCTGCGTACGGCTGCAATGTCTGCTTTTGCTGAATGAAAGAATCGTCCTCGAATACGGGCTGTAAAAGTGGTCTCTTCTGTACTTCCGACTCGGCAAGTGTAGCTCACGAAGTCTAGCTGGACTGCAAAGAATAGTCACCTGTCCCGTTCAGTGCACCGTGCTACGTCACCTGCTGCGCTTTTAAAGGTTCCACGACCATGTATGTGGGATCTCGCCAAGGGCCGGCATCCGAGTTTTGGCACCTGCCCTCGCAACTGCAATCAATAACACTGGATCAGAAAACCAGCCAACATTTTGGCAGTCCCCTCGATCCAAAGTTTTCACGGACAATTGTTGGATTGTGCGCTGTGACTAAGCTGCCACGGGCCTCGAGTCTCTGGGCAAAGGAATCAATTCCCAAAGTTTCTTTTTTTCCAAAGATTCGAAGACGGGCGCTGACGGAGTGGCATGCATTTTCTCCGTTCACTCATGTACGATCCGTCGCCGAGAGCAAGAAAAGTCGAGAGGGCAAGACAATCCTGACACAACAAGACAAGTGAACGGACCAGGTGTGAATATGCCTGACTGGAAGACCGATTACAACTGAAGACACACAGCTGCCCTCAGTTTTTGAAAACATGTATTCAAGGACTATGCATCTGGGGCCCCCTTGACCGACTTAACCAGACCATTCTGGAGGCTCATTTGCTGCCGCAAGCAACAAGCCCTCCTTAGCACATCCCCCCGTTATTTGAACACGGAATACAGCCGGAGTCAGCGCTCCAACCAACAAACAGACTCGAAAGGGCCGTTCACACGAGCATTGACTGTGATAACCCGTCATCATCAAACGTGAGAAAGACGGGCATAACAGACAAGTCTTCAGGCGGCTCCAGCAACAATTGAGATCGGGGTACGAAACGAATGTCACATCCCTCGCCCCTCACGCCATAGAATTCTCACCAGCAGGAACCCCCCAGGAATGCCGGGATGCTCTCGGCGTCCGCCTCCTTGAGCAGGTGCGGCAAAAATTGGCTGCCGTGCACCTCAATTTTCTTGAGCGTGTGCTTGTCGAGGAAGGGCTTCACGAGCGCCCAGATGGCCTTGAACGATGTGGGCGCGTTGATGATCATCATCTTGCCCAGGTACTCGGGGTAGTAGTCCTGGTCGACTCGCGCCAGCTTCTGGATGAACGCGCGCACCGTCTTGGTCATGTGCTTCAGCGACTGCGGATAGATCGGGCACACGCTTAGTTCTCTTGTCCAGAAAAGCAGCTACCAAATCGGAAAAGCGCATGGACGCTTCATTGGTCCCCTGGATACTGACCTTAGCGAGAACCCCCCACACTGTGACAGCTTCAGGTTCCACAGCAGCTAAGTGTGACCTTTAAGACGATTTAGGAGGAAGTCTCGACAGTTCCTGCTTTCCAAGTGAGGGTTATCAATGACAGGAAGAGTTCAATCCTCAGTGCTTTCCAATTGATCAAGGCCATACATGAGCAAGGGCTCAGCCGGGTAGCCAGGGCCGATCGGCAACATATTCTGACCCAGGCTCCATGGTCCTTTAAAGAACAACAGGCAAGTTGTTGCAGAGGAACAATAATCTGATCTGTGACATGACCGAATCTCTGAGTATCAACTATTGCAGAGTCATTCTAATTCAAGCCTGTCTTCGTGCCCAGTACAATTTGTATGTCTTTCCACGTTTGCAAGCTCTAGCCAAAGGACATCTCACTCCTCTACAGTCACATTGCAATGACGTCAGCAGTCACTCATGAGTGCCCCTACACGCCACACTCACCACTCCTTTGAGGTCGAGCACCGTGAGTGACGAGTTGATGCTCGTTTTTGCTTTCTTGGAGCACGCTGGGAACTTGGTGTCAATCAGGACCTCCCACTCCTGGACGTGGTATAACAGCATCCGTTCCAAGGTCGTGACCTTCAACAGCTCGTCCAGCTTTAGCACGCCTAGTTGCTCGAAGTACATCGGGCGACCCTGCTTGTCGGTCTTGTGGTGGTAGTGCGGATAGTACTGCTTCACCTTGTCTTTCTCTGGGAAAGCGAATGTCTGCACATGGGTTGGGGAGGAATCTCAGCTTATACATTAGCTGTTGCAAAACTCGTAACAGCACATGGTTGTACCCAAAGAGTACGGGGGTCTTGAATGAAGGGAAGTCCTTGCTTATGATCAGAGCATCAGCACAGTAATCCCTATCCAATTTCAGCTGAATAGATCACAGTGTGGAGCTTGCATGCTATCTAGCATCATGCAACTCCCCATTAGCTGCTGAAGCTCCGATCGCGGACTGCCACTCTTCAAGGGACAGTTATGGCGTCACATAGAGTAGGGCTCTCCAATCAACCATCGGGGCATTTCAAGAGGGTTTCAAACTTGCAAGTGAAATTGCTTTAAGAAGCTGTTGGTACAGAGAGTTTATGCTTCTGAATGCTCCCTCTGTGGCAATCGTATGTGCAAGTCCTTTGTCTCAAATGGTCTACAGATACAAGTTTTGGAAGACCCGAAGATCTCTGATGCCCGCTAATAAGCAACATTGGGGGGAGACCCAAATGCCGGAGGAAATTCATCTCGATGCAGTCCACCAATCGTCCGTGATGAAGTTGGAGCAGCATTGAGCAGGGAATGCTGGCAGGAAGCTAAGGGCTTAAGTATTCATTTGAACCTCTTACCTCCCTGATTGTGTCAACATTGTTCTCTTCCCGGAACTTGAGCATGGCCGCAAACATAGCCTCGGCTTTCTCAAGGTCAAACTGCCTGGCCCGTAAGAATCGCAGCAATGTGATGTCATCATCCCTCGCCCTCAGCATGCCCTTCAGCATGAGCGACTTCCTGAAAACATCTAATATGGCTTGCTGTTGGGGACTGAGGTCCCCCAAGAAGCCGCTCATGACGCTGATCTATCAAAGTTACAGAAGCAGCGGAGGTATCAAGCAATTAGGATCCCGCATGCTTCGGTCGATACACCGGCATCGCTGCCCTATCCCCTCTGCAGACCACAGTTGGAGCATTCCCCCCAATCAATGTGGACTATCGGCAGGCTTGCAATGCCAGGGCACCAACCGAAGGGCCCCTTGCATGGGCAAGCAGGAAGCAGACGCCGCCCGATCGCCCTGAATCCTCTTGAGATCTGTCAGTGTTTGCTGTTCGCAAAGATTTTATGTAGAGGGGGCGCCTGAACCCTAATTCTCTGAATATGCTCACAGCATTTCGAATGTGCACATTCGTAGACAATGTGATTGTCGTATGAAGACAGAATGAATAGGCAAGCGTGGTGCGGGACGTACAGACAGCTACACATGTGCAGCGGCCTGGGCCCCACGGTCCACAAATCAATTAGGAAACAATAAGCACGAATAAACGTGCTGAGTTCAGGAGCCGAAACAATTGCTAACGTCTAGTGTTCGTTCGCACAGGTAGCACCTGTGGATGGGTTAAGCTAACCCTCCGCTCAGACTCATAACTCGACATGTCACAGATCAAACAGCTAAGGACCGTGGGGCCGCTACCTAGGCCGCTAAACTACTGCTACTGACTAAGCGGTTACGCAATACCCCCCTTCGACATCTACCACCAAGCAACTAAGGCTAGCAACAACTAGAGCGTCACGTCGCGCGCGGGCCATCAAAAACCCTCCACCGGCTCAGGCGGGCGCCTCGCCATAGGTGGTAATTGGGAAAAGGTATCCGCGCGCGACGCGTCGCGGGCGAATGGACGCGGCCGCCGCTAGTCGCTTGGTGGTGACCTCGAAGGGGCGCAGTGCGGCCGCGGCGCAGAACTGCAGAAAAAGGAACTAGAGCGGCAGAACAAATTCGCAGAAGAAAGGGCGGGCGGGTGGGAACTTAGAGAGAGAGTTGCGTCGAGAAAGCAGTGTCTGTGGTTCGCACATCGCAGAATGAAGAATGAGCGAACTTCGTTCGCTTTTGAATACTTCGCTTGGCGAAGATCTGCTGACGTCAGCAGTGTCGCAGACTGAGATTCGAATTCGAGTTACGGTTCGCAGCAGAGAACCGAACTTCTTCACTAATTTCAAACGTGAAGAATTTACAATTCTCTGAATATGCTCACAGCATTTCGAATGTGCACATTCGTAGACAATGTGATTGTCGTATGAAGACAGAATGAATAGGCAAGCGTGGTGCGGGACGTACAGAAAATTAGAGGCAGAGCGGGGAAGGCAGGTCAGAGCAACTAGGAGTGGGCAAGCGGCAAGCCGTCGCGCTCGAACTGCACGAGCTCTGCTAGGGACACGTCAGGCTGACGACCTAGGTTAGCCGTAACCAACAACCGAGACTGCAATTTACTGACCACGTAGGAGTCCATCGCGCGATCGCTCTTCCAGAACCCGTGCTCCTTGAACAGCCGGTCAGGGACATCCACGTTAGCGGCGCGCGTCGCGCCACCGCGTCTGCCCGAGTGAGTGCCGTACTCGTCGGGGTTCGGGCCAAGGACGCGGGCGGCGTCCTTGAACCAAGAGAGAACTATAGAGTAGCAGGGCTGCTCCGACCGAATGTACTGGCGCGCGCGCGAGATCGTGACACACCGGATGAGACCGCTTGGATCAAGGCGGTCATACTGGCCCAGAAAAAGCACATACTCAGTGAAAGTAACCGGGCAGAAAGGCCCACCGACTCTGGCAATCAAGACCCAGCGACCGACGCGGTAATGGTCGGTCTTACTCTTCTCCAGAAACAGCTCCATGTGAGTGGGAAGGAATCTGATTTCGTGCCACTGGACGAGAATCACGTCGGAGAAACGCAGAAAGCCGGCGTAGCAGAGCAAGACGGAAAGGAGCTTCATTCTGGTGTGAAGATTCGCGCTAGACGATAGATGCCAGAGTTCTACGAGGCGACGGCAGTGGGAAGCGAGGAGGGGCTTTTTGACATTCTGGCCTGAGAGTTTCGTGCGCTTAGCGATCTCGCGGGACATGGCGACGAGGGGGTTGCTAGTAGGAGATGGAAGGCCAGCGAAAGAATGGTGGAGAAAGATGGCGGCAGAAGAACTGAGTACGGGACTGGGGGAATTCGCGCTACGCAGGAGAACTGTAAAGTAGAGAGCTACGGTGAGGGGTGCTGCAGGCAGGTACGAAACACCTTTTCCTATACACCAGGAGCGGAAACGCTGCCAGTAACCAGAATAAGACTTAAGAGTGCCAGCTGCCCGGGATGCTGCAGCGCTTGTGCGAAGCTCTGAATGAAGTGACTGAATCTCAGGGTCGTCAGAAGGCAGGCCAGCGGCATCGAGGTTCCAGTCGTCAAACACGAAAACCTCTGCAAGAAGATAGAAAAACAGTAAGACGAGAGCTTACCAGAAAAGGAGATGTCGAGTACATGCACGGCACACGTCGGGAACCCGTGCCCAAAGAAGGCGTCAGCGGAACCTCGGCCAGGACGGAACGTAGCGGAACCGGCCGGAAAACGGAGCGAACGGCGAACGAACGGAGCCCAGGCGTCGCCGTGCGCGCACTGAAACGAGAAGAGGCCACCAGGGCTGACCAGGCCAATCTAAGACGACCAAGACGATCTCAGAAGCGCACTCGCGAGCATGCTCAAGAACTCGAGCAACTAGACGGGGGGGAGGAAAACAGTAGCTGCGGGAGCCTGCCCAAGAGACTGTGAAAGCGTTTGCGCCTGACGAACCCGGAGTCCAAAGCTCTGACCAAAAGCAGGGAAGCAGAGCGTTATACGCGCTAGCAAAGCGATCGACGTGGAGAGGGCCGAAGGCACTAAGGATCTGCGAGAAGACTGCTGGCTGGAGTCCGAAATCATCTACGTCGCGCACTTTAGAGAGAGCATCGGCTAGCTGGTTTTGCTCGCGTGGAACCCACTCGGGGCGAAGTTCTATCTGGAGATGGAGGCAGAGCCTGAAAATCTGAAGGCAGATTTTGTGAAGATGAGGAGCGCGTGACCCGCCTTTCTTAAGTAACCAGAAAACGTTCATTGCGTCTCCGCGAGCAATGACACGATAACCCTGAAGCAAATGACCAACTGCTGTCAAAAGACGGCGAAGACCTTCCAGCTCACGCCACGTGGATGACTGGACACCGTGTCGCTCATTAGCGGCCCACGCGCCGCGCGCGCGGTGCTCGACTCCGTTCAGGAGGAAATGGCCACCCCAGCCATCTGCACCAGCATCGTACTGAAGGACGAGCACAAGAGAATGTGAACGCAGACAGATTGGCCGAGAAGAGAAGGACTCGAGGGAATCGCTCCAGAAGTCCAGTTCAGACGAGGATTTAGGATCAAGTGCCACGTGGCTGCGCCAGGATGTGCGCGAGTTCAAAGCTCTGTGGAGAAAGCGCGAGAATAAGCCTGAGACTGGTCCAGTAACTAAGCTCATGGACGTGATGAAGCCAGTAACGCGAGCAAGGAGTTTTGCTGGAACTCTAGAGGGATTGCTCTTACAGGCTGCGATAGCATCGCGAAGCTTCGATTTCTGATGAGCAGAAAGCCGGAAAACTCCGTGCATAGTGTCGATGACAAAGCCTAAGAACTTGACTACAAAGCTCTGGTAGAGTTGGCACTTATCGAGGGATAGGACAAAACCAGCTTGAGCGAAATCAGCAAGGACGCGAGCTTTAACTTCAGCGAACTCAGTTGCTGAGCTAGTGATGAACAGGAAGTCGTCAATGTAAGGGATCAGACGAATTCCAAGGCTACGCCAACGTTGCACTAGCTGTTTGAGAATTTTCGTAAAGACGAAGCACGCTGTTGCGAGGCCAAAGGGTAGCTGGCAGAAAACATAGTATTGACCTTGCCACTCAAAGCCTAAGTACTGCCAGAAATCAGGATTAACATCTACGTGATGATAGCCTGACTTAAGATCAACTGTGAAAAGCAGATCCTGAAGCTTGCAAAGTGAGCTGACCTCCTTCAACGATTCGTACTTGAAGCTCTCAATGTGTAAAAAGCTATTGATGTAACGAAGATCAAAATTCAAGCGCAGCTTATCGATGCCTTTCGGAACGACTCCAAGAGGACTAACGATGAAAGGACGATGGGAAACTTCCATTGCTGCTCCAGTAACCACAAGTTTTGCGACAGCCTCAGAGACGAACGCAGAATGCTCAGCAGCAGACGGGTGGTTTCTAAAGAACTAGGGACCAGGAGGAGGGCCATTGGCCCAAGGCAGCTGATAACCTGATGAAATGATGCTGAGCACAAAGATGGACGTACAGAAAGAGCGTGAGAACTGGAGATTGTCGCGCAGACGGTTGCGAAGCCAGGGTTCAGCAGAAGGAGGTGTAGGCTCAGAGGAAGGAGCAGGTTGTTCGGTAGGCGCAGAAGGGGGTCTTCTGAAGCTCTCGAACCCGGCAGAATCGGTGAGGTCAGAAAGAAGACGCATGGAATCAGATTCCACTGCAGAGAACAGTAAACAGTTAGTAAATGATCTCAAGAAAACCGAATGCAATGAGGAATATTGACAGAGAAAAGACAGGGAGGCTCGAGAGCACTCTTCTCAGAGTCTTCACTTCCAATGAAGTGAAAATAAGAGAGCTCTTACTGTCATGGCCACCAAGCAAGAAACCGAAGAACTAGGGGTTCGATCACACTCGCTCCAAACATTCCCTCTTCAAGGAAATAGGAGTGTCGTCATTACCCCTGAAAATGAATCAGAGAGGAAACCTCTGCAAAAACAGCCAAGGTTCATTAGAACTCTGAGATGAGGGGAAAGAATGACATCATCGTGCCTCGCAGGCAAAATTCTACTTAGGCTTGGCGTGCAGCCAGCCAACAGACAGCGTCTGTGCTCCACTTCTCACATCTCGAATGGCCAGGAATAGCATCCTGCCAGTGGAGTCTTTCTACTAGTCCAAACCTCAAAGGAAACTCACGCAGGAGT